TGCAGTAAGAATCTTCAGATGATCAGTCTTCATGTCTGGGCTTGTTCCTCGAGCTTCCAAGGCGAAGAAATCCTCCAACTCCACTCCAAGAATGCCCTCAAATCGCCCTCTCTCTCTCTCTTTGGTTCGTCCCTTGGGTGTTTGGGATCCAAAAACCCAGCTCTCCCCCTCTTTGGTTCGGAATTTGGCTTAAAACCAGGAAATCCCGACTCACACGGGCAGGGCCACACGGCCGTGTGGCCTACCCAGTTGCCCGTGTGAGGCAAAACGCACCGTATCACTTAGTCGAATTCCAGGCTTCTCACACGGCCAGAGTGGCACGGCCGTGTGTGACTTCCATCTGCCCGTGTTTGCTCTCGGCAAAACTCGCATGGCCAAGCCACTCCTTCACACGGCCGTGTGTGTTGTCAGGGCAGGCCGTGTTTGCTCTCGCACAATCTCACACGGCCAGAAATATGAGTTGCACGGCCGTGTGATTTGTGGGTATGCCCGTGTGGCCTCCTTTGTGACTTGCCTCGCGCCCGATCTTCGTCCAATCGACCCCAAACTCGCTCCCAAGCCTCCATTCACGTACTAGGACCTGAAATATCACAAACAAGCACACCCAAGCGTGAAATCGGCCTAAAACACGAGAAATCATATCTCAAACGGTGTAAGAACAGGGGTAAAAACATGTGTAATTAACGGTCTATCAATCAGCTCACATGCTGCTGCTATAAACTCATCCTCTGATGGTCCTGCTAATCCTTGAGTTAGAACCTCAGTCGGGACCATTGTGATACTCTCCTGGGCAGCAATAGTTGACTCGACAGGTATCTGCAAAAGAGAGAAAATGTCTACTCATCAAGAAACAAATATCCAAAAAACCCATAGTAGAGGCTAATGGTAAGAGAAATATTACCGTAGTCGGAGATGTACCCATACTCTGCTCGATTGGCTCCCCCATCTCCTTAAGTGGATTAACAGTCGACTGCACGCCTGGCTCCACCGACTGAACAACAGAGACCTCCACCTCAGACTCGAAACAAACAGAATTTGGCTCCCGAACCAGCTCAGTCCTAACAACTGACTCTGACTCCACCTCCATCTCAGTAACGGCAACTGACTCTGGCTCCACCTCCATCTCAGTAGTGGACTTATCAACAGGCATGTCGACCTCGGCTCGACAATAGACAAGACTGTCTTCTCAAGTATTCTCCGAGAGTCGAAGCGGCTGCACATGTTCTTGCCTTTCCCGTCTCCATCCTTTTTCATCCTCGCTTTGGTCACAGAGACCAAAGTCGAAGAAGATTTCGCCACTTTGCCCCTTTTCCTTCTTTGTTTTGGTCGCTGGAAAAACACGTACAAGCACACTGAATTATTATCCAAACTGCCAGAGTAATATCCAATCATGAAGGAGCTGTTATCCAGACCGCACAGAACAATATCCAAACATAATTTGAATCAATTACCCTGACAACACAGAGTAATATCCAAACATACAGCACATGTTCGATGCAATCATGAAAAAAAATAATATCCAGAACCAACAATTTGTTCAAGCCATTCCAACATGGCAAAGATAACATCCCAACAATAAACAGAAATCTGAATGTTCAAGCCATTCCAACATGGCAAAGATAAAATCCCAACAAGAAACAGAAATCTTAATGCCATTCCAACATGGCAAAGATCAAATCCCAACAAGAAACAGAAATCTTAATGTTCAAGCCATTCCAACATGGTAAAGATCAAATCCCAACAAGCACATTACATCCAATTAAAGAGAGAAAATTTGCCAAGATCATTTGGTTCCTTGATGGCGCAAAATGACAACTCTCCAAACACTATCCCGCCTTGACTCCCATACATCCATCATTTTTTCAGTCATGGACTCCAATGCCTTAACCTACACATATATTGAAAACAAATTTAGTTCACTACAAACACCCATGGCCACTAACCCATTATTTTGAGTTGCAGAGAGAATATATACATACCTCATCATCATCAAGGGTTTCCAAGTCAACATCCTTCCACCATTCAGTAGTAGAAGCCGAGCTGCTTGATCCAGATTCCAAATCCCTCCTGACACGTTCAGGACGGAAGCGGGATTTGACTTCTTCTCTTGAGAACAACATCGGACCAAGAAGATATTTCTCAGCTTCCTTGGGGATATTCAAGCACACCTTGTCCACCCTAGGCTCGAACCAATAGCTGCAGGTAGGGATGGTTTTTGTGGCAAACCCTCTCACATTAAGGAAGTCCAGCAAATGGATCTATAAAAAAAAGTTCAAAACAAATATCAGAAATGAAACAACTATTATCCCATGCACAGTTATTAATATCACTAGCAAACAAAACAGATATCACGAATGAAAAGAACTAATACCCTAAGCAGCGATACTAATATCAAAGGCAAAGAAATCAAATATCAGAAATAAAAAGAACTAATATCCTAAGCAGCGATACTAATATCAAAGGCAAAGAAATCAAATATCAGAAATAAAAAGAACAAATATCCTAAGCAGCGATACTAACATCAAAGGCACAAAAACTAATATCCTAAGCAAATCAAATAAACAATATCAACAATGTTAAAGGAGAAGTTACCATTAAGAAGTGGATATCTCCGAGAGGCCATTGCTGTTTACCAAGATGCCTTAGTTCAGCTTCGTTTTCCTTAGCACGAGACAACTCAAACTTCAGATTGCGGGCAACAAAACCACTCCAATTAAAAGTGGCAATGTCTTCCACCCTTCCAACAAGGTACTCAGCATAATCGAGATCACAAAGTCGTGACATCTTTGGGACAAGCATCGAACCCATAGCCAGCAACAAAAACTGCTTCACTGCGGCTGCAACAGGTGGTCTCCTTTTCGGTGCGTCATCGGGACCACCACAGGCTGCCTCTCTAAGATCCACGACTTCGACATTTCGACTTCGATTACACTCGATATTGAGCTCCTCCAAGAACATATCAAGCATCTTGTCGTTAGACCTAACGACATCAATCTCAGCTCCACCAATAGGAAGGCCGTAAACACGGGCAACATCCTCAGCTTCGATTGTAAGCACCTTCTTGTTCTCCCCTTCACCGAAAATGAATGAACTGGTGACCAAGTCGTACTGTGCCATCAAGGTATCGAACAACTTCTTAGGAAAATTTGCCAATCGAAGCTCCAATAACCCTCCAAATCCAGCCTTCTCCAACTCTTTCTTGCATGCTTCATAGTACCTTGGCTCTTCCTTCCAGTAATTAATAACATCTATGAAAGATTTGGTATGGCACCGAAATCTGTACCACGGCTTGCCTTGTCCTAGAATATTATTTCTTTGTGCAGCTCCTTGTGCAGCAACTTCAGCATCTTCTTCCTCGTCCTCCTCTCGCAAGGGCGGTTGATTCCTTCGCGCTCTCTTCGCGTTCCTTTTATTTCTTGCCATTGATAAATCCATGCACAAACAAATATACAGATATATCAAACAAATATCTAGATTGGTCAAACAAATATCCAGATAAATCAAACAAATATACAGATATGTCAAACAAATATTCAGATAAATCAAACAAACATCCCGAAATGTCAAACAAATATCCACATATATCAAACAACTATCCAGGCAAGTTACAACTGATATCATGCTTGCCAAAACCAATATCCAGATTTATCAAAGAAACAATACAAGCAAAATAAATAATATAATGTCTGTAATCTGTACCTCAGATTTTGCCGACCTCGAGCTGCTCCTTGTGCAGTTGTTTCTGCTTCGACTTCAGCATCTTCTTGTGCAGTTGTTTCTGCTTCGACTTCAGCATCATCTTTTTCCTCATCTTCCTCTCGCTGTCGCGGTGGTGGTGGTGGATGGGGTGAAGTCAGTGGAGCTCTCTTCCCCCTCGTTTTAGTCTTTGCCATTGATAAATCACCTGCAAAGACAAATACCCAGATCCTATAAAACAACTATCCAGGAAAGTAACAACTCATATCATGCTCGAACAGAACTAACATCGACACAAACATGACTAATATCGACACAAACAGATCTAATATCGACACAAACTGAACTAATATCGACACAAACAGAAAGCCATTCCACAAAACCCAGAAATAAAATCAACAAAAGAACGAATCATGCAACCCTAACTCAAATCTGTCCAAACGAAACCTAATATCCACGAAACATTCCACAAAACCCGAGTCACCTGCAAACCGTCGCCGCCGAGATCGTTGCTTCGTCGCCGCCGACAAGATCGATGCCGCCGAGATTGCCGCCGCCGAGTTTGCTGCAGAGTCGTCGCCGCCGAGATCTCCGAGTTCGTGCAAGGTCGCCGCCGTCGATATCTCCGACTTCGCTGCTTCGCCGCCGCCGCCGAGATCTCCGCCTTCGCTGCAAGACGTCGCCGCCGATATCTCCGATTCGCAGCAAGGTCGCGCCGCCGAGATCTCCTCCTTCGCTGCAAGGTCGCCGCCGCTGCCTAGATCGTCGCCGCCGCCAGACTTTGCTGCCTCGAATTCGACGCCGCCGATATCTCCGATTTACTGCGCGTCGCGGCTCTTGCTATCGGGAGAGGAAGAAAGGCAGAGGAAAGGGAGAGAGAGGGGGGAAAGTGATTTGGGTTAGGGTTTAGGATATTTTTTTTTTGGGTTTTTGAATTAGTGAGCCCGGCGGGCCCCGCCAGTCGGAGTGGGCTTGACACAGCCGATGGAACCGGCTCTCATCCCTCACACGGGCCAGCGCGTTTTCTCCTCCACCAATGGATGGCGGCTTGGCGACGTGGAGGCCCATCCAGCCATGTCAGTATCTCCTAACAAAATACCCTGTTAGGAGCATAACTAGATTGTTCTTCCTTCGTTTTCCGCCGGCCCTCCGTTGACTATCTTCAATTTTCCAGTCGCAAACGCCGTTCCGAGAATTTTCGTAGGCGGCTCGCGTTCGGCTTCGCCGTTCCTTTTGGCTTCCGGGAAGTTGCTCCGCCGCTAAAGCATCTATTTGCCGCCATCGTAAGCAGGCAAAAGCATTTCGCGCCCCCCCCCCCCCCCCCCCCCCCCCCAAAACTTCCATTCTTCTCCCATGGCGCTGCCGGACGATCTATTTGCCGCCATCGACATGGGCACCAACTCCATCAAGATGATCATCGTCCAATTCCACCCGCCGTCGGGCCGATTCCTCACCGTCGCCCGCCACTCCGACCGTGTCTGCCTCGGCCGTGACTCCGCCGCCGCATCATCAAACTCCTCCCCGTCGATTTCCCCCGACGCGGTCCTCGAAGCTCTCCGATGCCTCCGCCAGTTCACCGAAATCCTCCGCGCTCGCGGGGTCCCGCCTCGCCGAACCCGCTGCGTCGCCACTTCCGCCGTCCGGGAGGCCGCCAACGGATCCGAGCTCGTCGAAGCCGTTCGCGCAGCCACCGGGCTCGACGTTTCCGTTCTCTCCGGGGAAGAGGAGGCGAGACTCGCCTACTCCGGAGTGATTCAGTTTTTTCCGGTCAGGGAAAAGAGAGCGTTGCTCATAGACATCGGAGGCGGATCGACTGAGTTCGCGATTGGGGAAGGAGGGATCGTCAATTTCGCGACGAGTTTGAAGCTAGGTCATGTGAGTTTGACTCAGCGATTCGCTGGTGGAGATGTGGTAGGAGGAATGAGGAATTTCATCAGGGCAGCTGTGAAGGACTCTGGATTGGTTCAGCAAGTGAAGAGATTCGGGTTTGAGGTCGCTGTTGGAAGCTCGGGAACGATTGGAGCAGTCGAGAAAGCAGTGTTTCATGGCTATGGCGATGGTAAGCAAGGCTTCCCTCTGATCATTTCACTTTGTCTCTCCTGATGGAACTCTCAGCTACAATTTACTCAACGTGGCAGCTGAAACTGACAAGTCAGCTGAGGAGCTGTTGAGGAGGCACGTGAAGAGGGATTGGAGATTCAGCAGAGTGGAATTGAAGAGAGTTGTTGAGAGGTTATGTACAGAAGAAGGGCAAGAAGAGAAGGAGATAAGAGAGGAGCTTTTTAAGAAGAGATCAGAATTTATTGTGGCTGGTGCTCTGTTATTGGAGGAGATATTTGAGTTGCTTGGGATTGAAGAAATGGAAGTTTCCGAGTATGCATTGGGAGAAGGTGTCGTTGCTGAAACTCTGAAGGAGGAATTCAATGAAGTTGGTTTCAAATTGAATGCGAATCCCAGGTGGAATTCTGTTGTGAGACTTGCTACCAGGTTTAATGATAAGAAGAGGGTTAAGAATGGCGCTAGATGTGCCGCCTTTGCCAAGGTAAGTTTCGTGTTTTCTGCTTGGTGTGGATTGACATACATTGTTTGATCTCTAATTTGAGTTTATGATGATTGTGGCAGGGTATATTTGAAGGCTTGAGGCACTGTGGTAAGCTCATTGACTTGGGTGGCGAGGATCTCGGGTGCCTTGAGGCAGCCTGTTTGCTTCATGCCATAGGGCTTTTCGCTGGTAAAAGGGGTTACCACAAGCAGTCTTATCGTGTTATCATGGTATGCATTGCATCATTAGCAGCATTCAATTTCCTTACTAAATGTAAATGTTTATAAGATTATGTGCTGATGAATGTGTCTCTTGCTTTAGGAAGGAAACCATCTTTACGGTTTCAGTACTGAAGAGATCAAGGTAAACTATTGGGGGCACCTTTCGGTTTGTGGTTTTATGGACAAAAGACTGTTTGGTTGCGAAGCCTGTCTGCTCAAGCAACCTTATTCCTAACATTGCAGTTAATAGCACTTCTGGCGAGGCATCACACGAAGAAATTCCCAAAACCTTATCAGGCTTCTTTGGCCGAGACTCCAGAAGAGGTATTTGTTACTTCTTGTACCATACACTGTTGTAAGAGGGTTGAGGTAGGGGAATATTTCTCATGCATTCATGTGTTGATTTTCAGTTCAAGAAGAAACTTCAAGGTCTCTGTACTATCATTAGGATATCAGTAGTATTGCAGAAGAACGAACGCCTGAACTTCCAAGATATGGAACTTTCACCTCTCAGTGGGGGATTTAGACTGGTATTGTTTCTCTTTTAAGCTGCCTTTTGCAAGAAAATTTTATGCTCAATTGACCTGATGGAGTGTTCAGGTATTGAAGCACGCAGGAGACCAACCTATTTCGCTCTCAGAGGAAATGAAGAAGGATTTAAGGGGAGAACTTGAACACTTCAAAATGGTAATATAAAGTTTCTCTACCCCACTGCAGATTTTCTTTTTGCTGCTAAGAATGTAGTAGTAAATATACTATCTTAAATCTTACTGATCTTCAGGTATTCAAGCAGCAATTGTCGGTAGATATCTCAAGCATTTCGGAAGCATCAAAGAGCTGAGAAAGTAATTGCACATTGTACTGTAAGATTTTGTTTTGGATTTTTATAGCTAGAGTTATAAGGATAAGATGTTTGTTTAGCTTCTGGGATTAGTAATAACATCTTTAGTTTCTGTACTGTGTTAGTTTATCATGCGTATCTTTGTATTATGATTTTCAACGAATGGTTACTATTACTAAGCATGTCCCTAATGATTCACATGTCATGTATACTGGAAATCTGCCTGGCCTTAATGAATAAATAGGAAGCGATATGTGGAATCCGAAAGTCGAATTGTGGGTTAAAACAAGAATTTTACCACATAGATATGCTTGCTACGAATTAATCGATCTCATTTATAACATATTTAGGTGAAATTTTGAACCGATGAACAGAAGTCTAAAGATAGATAAGTGACAGGTACAGAGACGTTTGATAGATATAATAGTATTGTACAGTCAGATTCAATTCTGAACTCATCACTAGATTGGGGTAGGAAGCACCTGTTTCTCTCTACACAAGGTGTTAGTTCAACTGTTGTGTCTTGTGTGGAATTCCTATAACCTCTGAAATTGAAGGATACAAATTATCCAAATGAATTTTCAAAAGCCTGAGAAGAATTAAGGGGGAAAAGAAAGAAAACCCTAGCTCTACGTCCTCCCTACTTTAAGAACTACACAAGAATACAGGATGTCTTTTGGATTAGGGATTAACTACAATGTGTTTCCTTTGTTTTGTTTAGCTTACTTGAACATCAAGCAGCCTCTTCCTTTGCTCGTGATGCAGGGTGAGATTCAAGACTCCCATAGGAAGAAGGGAAAGCTTCTGAGATAACATCCCAAGAGAAGCTCCCTTCTGCTCTCCTCCTCTTGTCCAAAAATGCTGGCCTTATGGGTGCCCCTGCATCAGCTTTACACGTCAGCATTGCCACCACCTCAGACATCGGAGGCCTCAGGTTCGCCAGCGGTTGAATGCACAAGAACGCCACGTGGATCACATGCACCACATCTCTCTCCACGATCCCGTGTTCTCGGAGCCTCAGATCTATCAGCTCGTTCACCTTGTTTTTCTCGTATAGCTTCCACGCCTGCAAGAGAAAATCTAATGGACACCATTGGGATGGCTAGGCCTCATAAAACTGAGCAAGGAAACACACTTACGTATTCAGGAAGGTACTGCTGCTCTGTTGGTAAGTTGAGATATGTGTTCTTCCTACAACAGATGATCTCAAGAAGGAGCACTCCGAAGCTGTAGATGTCGGCCTTCTCTGACAACTCGCCTCGGATCGCGTACTCTGGGGCTGTGTATCCCCTGATGAACGACAAAGATTAGTGAATTTGGAAATTCTTTTATTTGAGACTGGTACTTGAAGTTGATTTAGAAGAACTCACAAGGCCCTGCAAATGTGGTGCTGACATAAGCTTGGTCTTCAGGGAAGAATCTGGCCAGCCCGAAATCGCTGATCCGGGGTGGAACTTGTCGTCCAGAAGAACATTGCTTGCTTTGATGTCTATGTGCACATGGCAACAAAACCCGAACCCACGAGTACCCACCCGACCCAACCCGGTCAACGCGGGTAAAACCCGTGTTGACGGATTTTGGGCCAGGTTCGGATTTAAACCCGCTACACTATTCACCGGGTCGGGTTGGGTTTGGGTTTAGGTAAACCCGCCTCATGGGTACCTGCCCACACATATATAATCACTTTCCTGGTATATTTAATATTCTAAATAATATATATTTCTTAAATAACTAATATTCTTTATGTTTTGTGGAGACACGTATAATTTGTTATTTCTAATTGTTTATAATGAAGTTGATATTATGAAGTGGAGAGTGAAGAAACTTAGTTGACGAGGAAGAAGCTTTCAATTAATCTTATTGTTTATAGATGTTTATCTTTAATTTTGAACAATTTGTATTGATCATTTGCGGTTTGCTTGTATGCTCTAGAATGGTATTTTTTGTATGATTAATTTGTATGAGAAAATTGATGTTAAACTTTTATTTTGAAAGAAACTTGTTATTGTAAATTTTTTACCGCAAAAACCCACGGGTACCCATGAACCCAGGGATACCCAACGGGTTGGGTTGGGTTGGATTTGAGTTTTTCAAACCCAACGGGTTTTACCCCGGGTTCTTTTGGCGGATAACCCTATTGGTTTGGGTTTGACAAAACCCGCCCCAACCCAACCCATTGCCATCCCTAATTGTAGGCATCGAGCTATGCCAAGGATTATCTGGAACCTTGTGTTCCAATCCATGAATTGATTGTTGTTTCCTGGTAATATAATCACTTCCCAATTCATCAAAAACTATCATCAAGCCTGTAAAATATAATGTAAACTTACAAAATAGTCAATACTTATTCTAGACATGGAATCTGTTTTGTGAAATCGTACTGTATTGCTAGGCCGAATTGGTTGAACAATGTATCATAGTTGAAACAGGATTACGGTTATCCTATTTTTTTTCCAGGATTTATCAACAAATTTTGAACGGCGGACATTGTCGGTAATAATCGATTCCATCTTCTTGGTATAACATTTAGTTTTACATCTCATGATTAGGACATTCTCATTATGGTATATGATGAAGTTAATTGATTCTGGATCAAGGTTGTCAACCCGCGGGGCCATTTTGACCCTGGCCCGGTGAGAAAAACGGGCTGTACGTACTCGTCGGATCGACCGCTACAATGTACCGAGTTGGAGGTCAAATAGTGTCATTTTTGTCTTTGGTTTGCCAAATGCGCCTATTTTCCGATTTTTCTTTTCACATAACTCAATATTTGGAATCCTAAGTTGAACATTTGAATATTGATATTATATAAGTGTGTGTGAATTTTCACTATATATATATTTTTAAAGTATTTTCACTATATATTGAATCTAAGTACGACATGTTATTTTGGTGTAATATTATATGTTATTACTCATGTTAGATGAGATTTGATATAATTTATGAGGATAAGTACAATATAATGATTATTTTCATATTTCCGGGCTAAATCGAGCGACTCATTAACCATTGACCCACTAGCTCGACCGGGTCCGGATCAACCCGCAGGTTGACAACCTTTAACTGGATACTGGGCCGGTACTTGTGCCTGGCGGTTTCGATCCCATCCATTAACACTTACAAACACGACAACAACTGTAATTCTGTAAAGAATAAACAGTGTGAAACCACAGAGCAATCAAATTTCGACCGAAGATTCTCATGCTCAGCCCATTCTCTATGTATATCATGCATATGGAATTAAGGCAAGACGTGAAGACGACAATAATAAGAATTTTGTTCCCCCATGGAAGCTTGAAACTTTCGACCAACAAGAGAATAGATAGCCTGGTAATTGTTACTTACCATAAACTATGAGGTCCAAGCTCATGTTCTTCATGTACTCATAGACAAGCAGTCGTTGTTCCCCATCGGAACAACATCCGAGAAGTCCTACCAAATTCTTTAATGCTAGTGATCATTCTCGCTTCAGCCAGAAACTCTGATTCTCCTTGGAGAGATTTCTCTAAGGGGTTGTTTGGATTAGGAAATTTGAGGAGGGATTTTGCCACAATCCCTAGTCATAAGGAATTTAGTCACAATTCTTTGTTTGGATAGAAAAATAAAAATGAGAGATTTATGGGATTAGGAATTTCGAAAATCCTACTATTAGGAAATTTAAAATAACTGATGGACCCCAGGTTTTTTGAAATCTCTGCTCATTTTTCCCAAACCTTCCCAATATATCCTTCCTTATTTTTTGTTATTCCTTTCTTGCCCTCCCCTCAATAGACGACCCTCCAGCCACCATTTCCCATCTGCATCCTTTCTTCCCTCCCTATACGACAACTGCAAGCAACTCAAAAACCTAGCGACGTCGGCGATTGCAGCGGAGAAAAACCTCGCGACGTCGGCGACTGCAGCGGAGTTTTACCAGCTCCGATCTACAGTGACGTCGGCGTTCCCCTTGAAGTGCGTCTGATCTCCATCTTCGATCTCACCAGCTTCGCGTGGGATCTGTGCTTCGCGCGCACGAGGGTAACAGGGTGGTGAAATTCAGGGCTCGGCTTCCAGGTTCGTACTCCCTTCCTCCTTTCCCTCCCTATGCTTGAACCGTTCTGGGTCGGGGCTCTGTTTTCTGGGTTTATGTGAATTAAGAGTTTGGGTTGAGGTGCGAATGATCTTCTTCCTCATTTTGTTTGAATATATGAAACTAGGGTTCTATATTGGTGTGAACTGATGAATCTTCTTCCTCATTCTGTTTGATTAAAGGAAACTAGGGTTCTTGACTTGGGTTTATGTAAATATATGCTGGTGGTTAGTATTGGGTTGGCATTTGGCAAGGAGAAACAGTGGAGAACAAGTCAATAGAGTAGTTGATTGCCACCTTAACAGATCTAATGAAAATGGATGAAAAGTTAGCAAAAAATTTCTCTTGTTTGTACATGAGCAACGAGAAATAGACGTCAATTGCAGTGACCTGTTGGGTAGTTTTTGCTTCTAACTTATGGGCTAAATCTATAGGAAATGTACAAGTTCCCCACACTGCATACTTCCTGTCCAGCAGTGCAATGAATTGCTGTCTTGTTCTCCTGTTGCTGGTGGGGAATTGGGAATTGCTCTCATATCTCTAGGATACATGTGTGTTTTTCATAAATAAATTTGGAGAAGAATCCCTCCAGACAAACAGGGATAAGCAGCTCGTAAGAAAAGCTCTGGTTGGGTTAGCGTGTCGAACAGGACTTATGGATTCAGCAGTTTATGGATTCAGCAGTTTATGGATTCAGTTTACCAAGTGTTCTTTGCTGACTGGGAACTCTATGGATTATGGTTCATAGTTCCTTTACTGTTACAATGAGTACAAATTGTTGTGGGCATGGTCAGTTAGTTGAGCTGAACTGCTTGCTATTTACATCAGTTCCGACATGTACATCTCCACTTGTTTTGTTGCTGCTGCAGGAAGCCATACTAGTTGGCTTTAGTTTAGCAGCATTGTTGTTGTTCAATCTCAATAGGCTAAAAATGGGAAGTAATGTATGTTTTTCATGCAGTTTCGTGTGTAATAGTTGTGATGGCAGAGTGGCTGTAGCATCATGATTATCTGTTACTGTGTAATGTACTTAAATTGACTGTTGTCTTTATGGCTGCTGGTTTTTCTTCTGTGCAAATCCAGGGATTGGTTGCTGCATATTTTCTTTGTCAGAAGTGTTGGCTTTTCATTGTGAATTGGTTGCTGCATATTTTCTTTGTCTGTTTGCATGATGGTGCAGATTCTCAGTTGCAACTCTTCTCATTAGTTCTGTTTTGCAGCATGGGAAAGAGAAAGCAACGTGATGAGGATATGGATGGTGCTTGCTCTAAGACATATACGTACTGGAAAGAGGAACTAGACAAGCCATTTGCTGACTGTATTCTGGAGCTTGTAGAGAAGGGGCAGATCGTTGACGGCAACTGCAAGAATGGGGCTTATAAGCAGTTAGAGAAGCTGTTGCAGGACAGAGTGCCGGGATGCAGGGTCAAGGCATATCCTAACATTGAAGGCAGGTTCAAAAAACTGAAGAAGAGATGGCATGCAATTAGTTTTATGAGGAAACAAAGTGGCTGGGGATGGGACGAGGTCAATAAATGCATTGTATGTCCCGAGGGATCTTGGGATGAGTTTGAGAAGGTAAATTACAGCTTGATCTTTATTTTTCTGTCCTATAAATTACTCCTTTTCTAATATAAGCTGCCATTTTCTTTGTATTTATATTGCTGACTTGCAGAAGCACACAAGCTGCAGAGGGTTGAACAAGAAAAGATTTCTCGTCTACGATGACTTAGCACCGGTTTTCTGCAAAGGGCGTGCAAGTGGTGAGCATGGGGTCGACACCAATGTTGTTGACGCTATCGATTTAGATGATGAAGAAACTGCACCTGTCGAAAATGAAGAAATGGATGATGTGTTGATGGAGGAAATACAAGCAGAAATGGCAGCACAGAATAATCAATCTGCCAGTGTTACCGCTTCAACCGATGGTGCTCCAATTAAGATGAGAAAGAAAGGTAAGACAGTCGATGAGCACCTCGCCAACTCCACTGAGGAAATGAGAGAACTTCGACCACTGATTAAGCAATCAGTTGACACTATTGCAAGAGCACTCGGAGAGAGCGATGATCTCATTAGCAAGAGATCGAATCTGCTGAGGAAGCTGGAAGAACTTGGAGGCCTCACAACAACTGATATCATCACTGCATTGCGGAAGCTCTCTAACAACGATAGGGACCTGGGGACATTTTATTCGTTGGAGGCAGATGAATATAAGATGGCTTTTGTTAGGGGATTGCTTGGATGAAGGCGAATGATTTTAGGACGAGCTGGAATTTTTCTATATTGCTTATGATAGGGATCTGGGTTGAGCTTTTTGGGGATATACTGTATGTTTCTTGTTTGTTGAAAGATGGTGTTTGGTAGGGAAGTTAAAGTGCATTTGCAAGACTTGTTATTGTGAGTTTGATTACTTTGTTGATGTTGTTGGTCACAGCCAAACAATATGCAAATGTCATTGTGGAATCTAGAATTTTCCTTCTTCAAATTGTGTATATAAGAACAAAGCAGCAAGAAGCTTAACATACAGGAACCCTCCATGTTGGGTCTATGTTAGGTCTATTCAGTGAGCCAGGAGTGCAGAGTTTAGGTTGTTAGGTCTATTCTGTGAGCAAGAAGCTTAACATACAGCTTCACTCCATTATAATTAATTCCCACTAAAAAAAAACAAATTAAGAATGGAAATCATTCCATCAAATTCGTAATTAACATTTTACATTCTCCCACGATGAAATTCAGCAACGCCTGGGCAAGAGGCTCTGTTTCTCAAGAACCAACCTGGCCTTCTGGATCTTCATATCCGCCCTGAAATTATGGATGAACTCCTCCGCCCTCACGTCCACCGGCTGCAGCTGCGGCGACCTCGCCACCACTTCCCGCCACGCATCCTCCAGCGTCTCCATTATAATTAATTCCCACTTCCGTCGCCCCAAAACCCACCACCAGAAATCAAACAATTCACGATTCAGAATGGCAACCACTGCCGCCACCGCAGCCAATTCGCCGACTAAGAGGTCATCTTCGGGCAAAGGATTCAAATTCAGCCTTCCCCTGCCGCTCCATCCACATCAACAAGTCCAAACCCAATTCCGCCGCCGTCGCCTCCCCTCTTTCTTCGCCTTCCGCGGCGGGGCGGAGCAAGGAGGCGGATCTGCTGCGGGTGTTCCGCCACTTCGACAGCGACGGGGACGGCAGGATTTCAGGGGAGGAGCTGGGGATGTACTTCGCGTCGACGACAGGGGAGGCGATGTCAAAGGAGGACGCGGAGAAGGTGATTTGGGGAGGTCTTCAACAACCAAGAACAGAGAGGAGGGAACGGAGAAACTCTCAGCAGCTACACCCCCCTTCTCCACCACGATCTTCGCCGGGATCCTCCTTTCCGCCGCCTCTGAGATTCGAGATACCCGCTGCTTCTGCGCAACCCAATAATCATCCACTCTGGTCACACTCGGAGCCTGCTCCAAATCTTCCCCGGCGTCGTTGGCCCCGGCGATGGCGAACGGGACCGTGAGTCTGATCCCCGGCGAGAACGTCTCCGGCGACATCCTCTGCCCCCGCAACGTATGGAGAGCCCGTCATTTTGGCTGGGAAAGTGTCTGCAAAGAAAGAGAGTGAACAGGGCAAAATAGTAATTTTAGGTTTGTCATTAAAATCAAAATTTCTCATTAGACAATTCTGGATCCTTCATCAAACAAGTGATTTGATTCAATTTCCTTGTTTAAATTACCTGGATTTTTAAGAGCAGAATTTGGATACAAATTCCTTATAAATCCCTCAAATCAAAATGCTTAATCCAAACAACCCCTAAAAGATAGCCTTTTCACGGCCACCGTCCGACCGTCTCTCAACTTACCTTGAAATAGGTTTAATCCAAAAATGTTCAACTTTGATAATGGAAAAATGTTCAACTTTAGTAATGGAGGGGAAAAAACAAAATAAGTGGAATGTTTTTACGGATCCACAAACCTGATCGAAACCATAAACTCGGATCACACTGACCAAACTCATACATAACCATAAGCCATAACCCTACATGACGTATATCGCCCAAACCTAACTCAATTATCAAGTTTTAATCTTGTCGATGAACTTATTTCGGACCACGGGACCACTATTAACAATCAACTCGATCTCAGCTCATTTGACACATTCAACAGAAAGTGTAACAAAATAAACATTTAGTTCTATCATCAAAATGGTTGTTTCGTAAAATTACCCAATAAACTGGGCCAAATCCCCCTCTCCCTAAGAGGTTATCGGCATGAAAGTTCTTGGTTGCCTTGTTCAACGCCTGAAAATTGAAGTAGCTAATCTTTCTGAGAGTCCCACTCAAAACCTCAAATGCCACTCCTACATAGTTGGCAAAAATCAACATTTATGGATCCAATACCAATTAGTCTAGTCGTATTATTAGGTGATTACTTTCAAAATAAAAGATCGATTCAAATGTACGACACTAAAATACAGAAATTCAAGCCAAGTCTCCTCTGTAGCGAGGCAACTATTGGGGTCCGATTACTATGACGAACATCCCCTCTATTGGTGTGAGGCTGTGAGCTAATGATTGTATGATTATGGGGAGAGCATTAACCATTTCTCGAATAAACTTGTATGATACTATATGCTAAATTATCACTATGTTTTCTTATTCATCGTATTTGTAGGAAATTGAGCTTATAGGGTCTTGTCTACCCGATCATACCCCAAATAGTATGAATTAACCCCACTAATCCAAACACGATGTAAATTATTTGATCAACGTGTTGTTAATTTTGCAAAAACATTGTAATATCGGGATCAACTAGGACAGAAATAAAGCCTTGGGTCGAACTCTTCTTTGGTGTCAAGTTGTGTTCTTGAAGTCCGAGCGCTAACTGAATCCATATTGAACTTGTGACGATGATATCAGCATGTGTTGATGGAAGGCTCATTCAAGATGTTAACCGGACCCATCTTCATGTTAACAGAGAATGAGCTATTGTTCGGGTGCATCATCTGAGATCAGATTTCCGGCCACTTAATTCAAAGAGTGATGATTACTTCGGAACTTAAACAAATTTATGAAAAGCGGATTTGCTAAAGGTTTGTTATTATTACCTTGAGGCTGCAGTGAATTGTCTTTCTTGGTGAACTTGGTGGTCACCTCATTCAATTTCATGAACTTCTAGAAGACGGTGATGAGGACGAACAGAAGAACGAGGATGACCAGAACGCCGGCGAAGAAGAACAATGCGGAAGAAGTCATCGGAGAGGAGGAAGAAGGTGTACCGCGCGGCTCAGGAAACTTACTCGGAGATGGCAGATTGGTCACTGTAAAATATCACAGAACACTGTACGGTTTCAGAGAAGGGGGGAAAAAACAGAGACCGAGTTCCAGGGAAAAAAACTGAGACCCAGTTTCCATCTCAATCGGAATCGCAAAACCCACCTCCCAGAATTCGACGAACCATGGCCCAGGACTAGAAACCCTGAGGCCAAAGCGAGGACGAAGAAGAAGCAGCAGCAGCAATGGCGGGCAATTGGGGATATGGAAGAGAGAGTGAAAAATGAATTGAATCCATTAGGGGTGGAAATTGGGGTGGGTGTGGTTACCCGCCCCACATTTTGCGGGTACCCACAAATATACAATTATGCTACCCACAACCCTCACCGCAGTGGTTAGTGGGTAACCACTGCCCACTGTTGGTTTGTGCGGGTTGGGTGTGGTTACCCGCAAAAATCCATCTTTGCAAGCATAGAGTTCTAGTCGCCACTAACGTATTTTTTGTTCGTAACTAGACTATAGTGATATACACTTGTGTTGTTCGTGGAGATACAATTTTGTAGGGATTTTTCCAATAATAGCACCTTTTAAAAAAAAATTACAAAACTAGCACACAGCCGAAAAAAATTACACTACTAGCACCATTTTTAATAGACCTCACCTCTAAGATGCGTTTTATATGTAAACCGCATCCTCCAGGTGCGTTTTACCTATAAACCGCACCTTAGAGGTGTGGTCCAATCCACGTCAGCATACACACCGCTCCTTCCGAGAGCGGTTTATGTTTTCTGGGCAGCGGGGTCGGAGACCGTCGGATGGGGTTTCGATCCAAGGGCAGACCGCTTGCCAGGTCAGCGATCCTGGCCAAGGATCGTAGAACGCAGCGCCGAGGTGCAGTCAAGCCTGGGGAAGCACAAACCGCCTTGGCAAGGCGCGGTTTCTATTTGGGCAAAATTACCCGACCGCCCCTGCAGGGTGCGGTCTGTTGGGTATAAATACCCCCCCCCCTTCCCCTCTCATTTCTTCACACCACAACCCATTCTTCCTTCTCTCTCTAGAATTTATCTCTCTAAACCCTCCCCTCCCAAAAGCCTAGGAAATAGTGGTCTGTTGGTTGCGGCTAAATCCGATCTGCCATCAGAAAACATTTCTTAGGTTTTTTCCTCAAAACCCGCCGAGCCGAATCTCTTTCCGAATTTGCCAAAAAAATGGCCGATTGGTGGCAAGGAGAGGGAGTTTATGTTGATGAATTTCAAGCGGTACGTACTCATTATTTTGGTTTTTGCTGTTGTTATAAGCTTTTTAATTAATCTATGTACTAACCTCGTTGTTATTTTCTCGTAGGTTGGGGAGGACGTGGATATATACAACCAACGGTATTATCTCGAGCAAGGAGCGTTGGATCCAACCGACTTGTACGACCAACCCAACCATCGGTCAAGGGATGTTTGAAACGCTCACCCGGTACATACAATTCTTTACCATTTGTCCTTCTTTTATTTTGTTAATGTATTTAGTGGAATATAAAATAAATTTATGTTGAATTTTTAATTGTGTTGGTTGTTTCCAATAATTTAATCAAATACATAGCCCCACTTACTTCGACTCTTTATAAAGAGATGCACGTCTAAGGAAATGAGGTTTTAAGCGATTATCATATCCTCCCATTCCCTGGGAAAATCGGGTATTAAGAGATCTTCGGATCCCCCCTTTTTCTGTCAAAAAGACTGCGTTTCTAAGAAGATGTATACCTCTTCTAAGAGTCTAACGAGTGTTGCTTTGCATTCGATTAAATTATTTAAAACAACCAATACGATTAAATTATTTACCAAACAATCAATACGATTTATTTTGATGTGTACAAAATGAATTTTATTAATTTCAAACATTTGAATATGTATTTTTCTCTTTAAATTATTATTCATTAACAATATCATTTATTTTCATTAATTTAGTATGTTTGTTTTATGATAATATGTATGTATCTCTTTAAATTATTATTCATTTAAAATGTTATTATGTTAATTAATTTAGGATGTTTGTTTTATGATAATATGTATGTATCTCTTTAAACTATTATTGATTTAGAATGTTATTATGTTAATTATATGAAATGTCTTTTTATGATAATAAAATTCTGGTTGAAGTTAAATAATTTAATTTAATTAATTTAGTTATAGGGAAAAAACCCTTACTAATATATAATAATTAATGTGTAAATTTTCGCTAGGAGGCACAAACAATACTCCGCTACAGGGGTACGACCAATGTGCTCCCATTCCACCCAGCTATCTTGCCCTTTCGAAAAAGGGCACGGTTGGACCCGATTAGGCATTTTAGCGGCCACCATCACGCTAAAGGAGGTCGCCATCCTAACCCATCTACCCATCGACGGCAAACCGGTGTGTGTGAGTGATCATCCCCCCGAGGATTGTGACGGTATGCCCGGTTGGGTTCATTTCATCCACAGTGTTTTGGGAGTGAAAGTACCAGTGAAGGGGTGCGTTGATGCGACCGATCGCATGCCACCAATGAGGAAACACACAGTCTCAATTACTTGGTTGACGAAGTATTTTAGAGACCATTACGAGAGTCATCCATTAACCGAGGAAAGTCCGGAGGATGAGAAGGAGAGATATGCTCGTGTCTCTTCATCTTGGTATCGAGGGGAGAAAACCGTGCCAGGGTTAGACGCCTCCAATGCCAAAATTAACCTGGGAAGGAATGCATATGATTCTTCCCAATCACCAAAGACGGCGGCCAGAGCTTTCTGCTTTCCATGCCACGCCTTCTTATAGTTAATCATATAACCATAACGACTTGTAATGTCAGCGATTATGACTTTCACCTTCAGGTCCAGATCTTGCTCAATTAGATGCTTGATAGCCGCAGCAACCACCCTGGATTTCAACTGTCGATGGCCTTGGGAAGTTATGGATGACACACATGTGTGTGTGTTCACCGTACGGGATATGACCCAGTGGCCTTGTCTTTTGCTGTTGATGGCCCAAATCCTAACATTGCACCCCTCGTGATGATTACGGCATCTGACTATGAGCCTTTTAGTGTTGGAATGAGTTGTGTGCCATTCAAAATGCCGAGTCATTGCTTCTGTCTCAATGGCATGCCGCACCTCCTTCTTCGAGCCAAATTGTTGGCCCTTCATAAACCCAGTGAGTGGACCCCATATTGGGACCTCTGGCGGCTCCATGTCGCTTTCGACCATCCAATTGTCGGCTGGAATGTGATTGTAGTAGGGGACTGGTACACGGTCACGAGCCACCTCATCATCATTAGCTGAGTCTGACTCTGGTCCTGAATCATCAGCACCTTCAAGAGGGTCGGAGCTGTCTGCACTGACGTTGTTCTCTGATCCAGCTCATGAAAGGCACCTTCATCAGTTCCATAATGGTAGTTGTGAAAACTATCGCTGCCTGATTGGAAGTTGTAATGAGGTTGGTTGGAATGGTCCGGTTGAACTTCTTCTTCATATGACGGGAAAGATTGATGATGACCTTCACCTTGCTCTTGGTACTGAAAATAGGAATGAGGATCATGGTAACTTTGGTAGGGATGATCGCCATATAATTCACCTCCACCATGGATACCAGATGTTTGACCGTGTCCAGAATGACCTCCAAGGCCTACGACCGGCTCGGTGTAGACGAACATCTCGGCTTTGGAAAGATTGTTGGACCTCAAGAATTCGAGCATGGCATCTACCTCATCCTGAGTGGTTATGAGATATTCCTCATGCCACAATGACCCACTTTCTCTGTTTGGATATCGGTACACCATACGATTAACTCTTCTCGTGCCATCCATGCAAGTAACGTTAGTGCACATTTGATGGAGGTCTTCAAGCAACGGTCTGGTAGCGACCTTTATCTTCTGAAAATTGCTACCGACGTAGGTGACCCCCTTTCCGATCTCTTCCGTGTAACCATTCCACCGTAAGCCAAGCGTGAACTTTTGGAATGCCATCTGCGAAAAAACCGTAGTTCAGTTAATATCATAAAAATCAAAAATAAAAAATAACAATAAAAAGTAATACAAAATAAACTTACGAGTTAACGTTAATCGCAAAACTACTAAAGAAATATAGAGCTACAACAGAAAATTGAAAAGGGAGAAGGAGAGGTGTGAAGAGAAGTGGCTTTACAAAAATTAGGATGCATAACAATTAACGAATCATGCATGGTCAAAAATTACGTACTCCTTCAAGAACAACCTTTTTCCGAATCAAGCGAGTACGGGTACCCAATCCCGTCCCGTTGTCCACTCCTACATAAATTAAAGTTTATGCAATTAGGATGCATAACAATTAACAAACGAGCCCATAAGTGATTTTCACTTATGCAGGAGCTTCGTAAGCTTCTCTTCCGCCCGACGTCTTCCCGCCGGGAAACAAAGCACCCAATAATTCGAGCGACTCACACTTAAAATTTTCCCCTCAGATTTCCATTTCCATCTCCAATAGCCGATTCGAGCGTTCCTTTCTCTCATCATGGCAATGCCAATGACAATGAGCACCATCTGACATCTGTAACTGCATCTTTCGTCACGAAGCCTCTCGATTCAAGCTGCATAGAAACGTCGGTAAGGCAGTTTTTCGGTCTTCTGCTCATTTCATTAGCGTCGAAGATGCCTTATACTCTCATGCAATCGGTTGCTCCGCATGAAACCCAGGTTGTGAAATACGGCCAGTTATTGTCTTCAATTGTGAAAATGAATGCCCTGAGGTTGCGGTCTCGGTATCCAAACTAATGGATTTGGCTGGCATGCCGTTCAACGATTACATACTCAACATGTTGATTCATTGCTTCTGAAGATTGGGTCGTGTCAATGTTGGGTTCTCGATTTTGAGCAAATGTGATTGCTTTTTCACTACCTTGATTGGTGGGCTCTCTAAAGTTGTGTTATTTGCTGATGCCGTAAATTATAATTCGATCTTAAATGGGTCTTGTAAGATTGTGGCTTTAGGGCACAAGCCTGATGTGGTCTATTATAATTCGATCATAAATGGGTCTTGTAAGATGGCCAAACTGGTGAAGGTCTTAGTTTGCTTGATGAGTGGAAGGTTTGGGTTGTTGGCATAATGTTACTACCTATAACATTATCATGGGTGCTCTGTGCAAGGATGGCTCAACTTCTAGATGTCTTCTGTGATCTTAAGGATAAGAAAGTCCCGCCAAATGTTTTCACCAACAATTATTTGATTCATGGCTTGTGTATCGCAAGTTAGACGAAAAGTGCTTTGATGATGTTGAATGAGATGATAGAAAGTTATTACATCATGCCTGATTTGTTCACTCTCGGCATATTTGTTGATGAGCTTTGCAAAGTTGGAACGATTTGGAGGCTAAAGCTGTGATTGGTAAGACTATTCAGAGAGACAAGTGCAGCCACATATCACCAAAACAACTCATTCCTAGATGGGTATTGTCAACATTAGTGAATTAGGGGAAGCTAAGAGGTTATCTGCTTTGATGGTCTAGTATGGGATGCAAGCCTAATGTCTGTAGCTACATCATCATAATTTATGGATACTATAGAGATAAAAGGATCTGTGAAGCCAAAGAGTTATTCTTCGATATGCTTGAGAAGGATTTGACACCAAAAAAGTGTTACATTTAATACTTTTGTCAATGGATTCTGCACAGCGAGAAGGCATACTGAAGTGAAGCACAGGAATTTGTGAAGAAAATGCGTGATCAGGGTCAGGTTCCAGATGTTGTGACCTATAATAGTATATTTTGCTTAAGCACTTGTGCGAGCGAGATCATCTCAACGCGGCACTGGCTTTGTTCTAATGAATCGAAAGCATTAGTGGGTTGACGACTCTTTTCGATAGCGTGTGGAAAGCTGGCAATGTTAAGGAAGGAAGGGAAATGTTTTCTAGGCTCTGCAAAGATTGGTGTGTACAGCCTGATATTGTCAAGCACAACATAGTAATCAGTGGGCTGTGTAGACATGGCTTCGTAGATGAAGCATATGGTCTGTTCAGAATGATTGAGGTGAGTGGTTGCTACCAAAATTATCACTCTTATAAGTTTGATCGTCCGCTATTATCTTCTGCACAAAGATCCACTCGATGCAGAGGAGAACTCATTCAAGAGAGAGTATCTAAGGAATTAAGGATTCTCTGCTGATGCCAAGATCTTCCTGGACGATGGGAGAATTATGCCTGAAGAAGCTATTGGTTCATCTTGGTCGATGACTTTTGCAAAGATGGGATGATATTGGAGGCTAAAACTTTCATTAAAGTGATGATTCAAGGTAAAGTGCCCCCAAATATTGTCACGTGCAACTCCTTGCTAGATGGATATTGTTAGTGTGGTGAATTTGGCAGAGCTAAGAGGTTATTTGATTTGATGGCCTAGCCTGGGATGTGAGCCGAATGGTTTGTAACATCATGATTTATGGATGTTGTAAAGATAAAAGGATGTGTGAAGCCAATCAATTATCTTTGTCCAGTTGATATTTATCGAAGGAAAACCATGATTGTATTGAAGGTCTGGCCCAATGATTGTCCCTGCTCTCACTAGCTGTTTGTTGTTGTTTTTCCTCTACTCTCTTTTGTGTTGGATGATCTCTATACTAACCAACTTATCAATTTGGTGATGACATGAAAATGATTGGATCATTCTTGTGCTGATTGGTATAAACTGTAGCATTCCTTTCCTTTATATGTAAAGTACAACAATCTATTACGGGGGAAAGAAAGTATGGCAATCAGTTAGATCTTATTGCAGTTTTTTTCCTGTTCTTTTCATTTCAGGTGAGTCGGTACTTCATTTGTTGGAGAGGACAATGCATTGCATCAAATGGCCGCACCTCATATTTGAGTCTATTTACTACCCTAATGTACGGTAAATAGAATCTGCCCCAGTGGTCGCTTTAGGATTTGCTTGTTTAAGATGTTTGGACCCCGGGCTCGCTTTGCTTGCGAGAGGCACCATCTCGATAGGTAGGCACAAAGAGCCATGGTTGAACATGTGAAGCTAGCACCGTACCAGTTTCCTCATTTTTTTAACAACTAACCTGAATTTTTTAATGAACTGATCTCGTCGTCGCTATCCATCAAATGTTGGCGGCTGTGATGTCGTACTTGTAATGGTATATGTTTCGGGTTTACATTGAAGAGTTCTGCAAACCTGAATCATTTGGCATTTAATGGAGATACATATGGACGTGGGTTGGTTTTCAATTGATCTGATTGTAGTTTTTGTTCCTTTTCATTTCACTACATGAAACTAATGGCTTTGTTAGGGAGGGGAATGCAGTGTCGATTTCTTCGTTGTTGACCTTATTAAACACGACCTTCTAAGTTGTAACATGTATTGTGGCTCACAAATTGTATGAGATATGTTTTCATTGTATTTTTGCTAGTTGACGAAATCCCGCCACCAAAGCCCTATCGGTTAAACCGTGTATCCAATATCAAATTAGAGCAACTTTATGATGATTGATCAAGATTGTGTTGTTGTTGTTTTTTTAAATTGTGCCATTGAGTCTCTTAAATCCTTTAGTCTCTTGAGTTACAAAGTGAATGAAAAATGTGCTCACCCAAGAATAACGAGTAATATAGCAAAACAAGATAATCGGTCACAAATTGATCTCACACGTAAAAACAAAACATATGAGGGTGAAGCCTCTAATACATATTGTATGGAGTTGGCAAAATTATTCAAAGGTTACAATGGACTCGTTTGGTTCATGGGGTTTAGCCCCTTCAGAGATGAGTATTGATATACATAAATAACTCAATTTGATTCTAGTGTGAATCCATGGACATCCGAGGTCGTGTTTGTGAAACCGTATTGTACCAACGTTCCGATCAGAAATATATTCTATCAGAGTCTAGATTAGTAGTCGGTTTTTTGCGGTATTAAACACTTAAACTACGATTTCAGCACAAAATACCACTAAAATATTCAATACAACCTCTAATACAATTTTATGATTAACACTTGACCCAGATGGAGACATATGGGAAATTAGGGATACACATTCAATTATAATGTTTTGGGTCCCATTTCGTGTTGATCTAGGAAACACCATGCGAAAAGTAGGGATGATAATTGAACCCCCAACTCACAAGGTACCCAACCCCATCCAACTCGGTTAAAGCGGAAAAAATCTAATGTTGATGGTTTTTGGGTCGATTGCGAGTTTTACCCGCTTTTGAAATTGGCGGGTTAGACATTGGATTTTTGCCAAAACTTAACCAGCTTTTCAGCCTACTCGCTCCCATAAAGTAAAACGACATCGTTTTGAATTATTTATGAATGTTATTAGTCTTTATTGTCAAAAAATCGTATTATATGGATAACTTATGATGTTAGTAGTCTTTACGAAAAAAATTGTAAGAAAAATATCGATAACATTACGATATTAGTGTTCGAAGAAATAATGTATCGTGAACTAGGGATGGCAATTTACCCACCCATGGGTAATTTTTCCCAAACCCAAGTAGACCCATTCATTATGGATAGGGTATGGGTGAGGTATATATGGGTTTGGAGGTTTGTAGATGGGTTTATATTGGGTCCAATATTGTTTTCATAATCTAAATGGGTATGGGTTGGATATGGATATCCATTTACTTGAGGGTGGTTTAACAACACATACAAAAATTGGACCTATTTGCAAAATTTGAAAAGTTTAGTTACCAAAATGTAAGACCAAAAAATTTGAGGTACTAAAATGTAATTTTCCATACATATTTTGAGGACTTATATGCAAAAATATTAAATTTAGGTACCAAATATGCGTATCTATTAAGTTTAGGTACCAAACTATAATTTGCATTTGGGCATTGGTACAAACCCAAATCCATTTGTTAAAAATCCAACCCAACCCAACTAAATGGGTAGGGCTGGAAGTTTGGTACCGGTATTTGGGATATACCGAATACCGTACCGAATTTGTCTATATTTGGTATTACCGAATACATGTATTATTTCTTGGGATTGGGATTGGGATTGCATTTCAATTGTTATTCGGTATTAGGGATTACGGGATTGGGATCGGTATATACCGAAATACCGATCAGTACTGAAATATAAGCTAGTGTGTATTTTTTATCCTCTCAACTAGACTCTCTAATTCACTACTACACGACCCTAAACCACCAAGAGTGCCATTAAATTATACATAGATCATTCTATCACTATTTCACAACTTAGAAGTCCTCATCCAACTCAAAATTTGAGTTTTCAATTTAATTCACTCTCGTATTAGTGTCTCTCAACCTCCAATTCGTCAAATTAAAGGTTACCAATTCAAGAACTTGAGATGTCACCTCTCCTCCACTCTTCTTATCCATATCATAGCTCTAAGCAAACTCAAGACTATTTGCTTAGTCTCTTTGCCCTAAATTAATAAATAAAATCTAATTTATATACTATATTATTAATTGCAAAGTTAAATAATTTTGTATTCGAAAATACCGATTGGGATAATTGGGATACCGAAGTACCGATTGGGATACCGAAATTATTTAGGGATTGGGATTGGAATACCGAAATTATTTAGGGATTGGGATTGAGATTGATTTTAGGATGTAATTCCATATTTGGGATTTTGGTATTTGGTATTGGGATACCGATATCGTACCGATTTCCACTTCTATAAATGGGTATGAGTACAAATCCTTTAAACACTACCCATCAACTATCTATTTGGATTCCATACTCAACCCAATTGGGTTGGATAGTAAAATAACCATGGATATGAGCAAAATTGACATCCTTATAAGCTATCATGAACCCATAGATACTCATGCACCATTGAATATCAATTGGATTGAGTTTGAGTTTAGCAAAAACCCGACTCATTGACATTTGTTAGGATAGGGTACGTAGAGCACTTGGCCGTATTTGAAAAGAGGTGGAGAGGGCTCCGGACTGGACCGTAACCCGACAGAACCCAAAAACACATCGAAAAATATTAAAAATACAAAATTTACACGTACTATACTAGCTGTGGATGAGAGGAGGGATGGGCCTGGCCGGGGTGGCCCCTGGATCCGCCGCTGGGTGAGCTACTTGGCCCCACTTGTGATTGTGATAGGCGGTGCTAAGATAATTTAACTTAAATCACTTCGTCAAACAAAATACTCAAATAATACATTTCCAAACAAGAATGCATGTTTTTTTTTTTTTGACAGAAACCTGCTTATATTATTAAGTGATCAAATTGTCCTTCTCCAGATGAGGAAGGATAAACATTGGAGGCCTAAGAGCCCAAGACTCAGAAGAATCCCAGTTATAGTTTGAGTGGGCCAGTAAGTGAGCCGTTTCATTCCCTGTTCTCTTTGTAAAGCTCCACCGGATCTGGCCCAAAGACTCGGCCCGCTCCTTTAGCTCTCTCGCGACGACACCTGCTTCCATCCTTGAATCTTCCTCACCCTTTATTTTCTGGATAGAATTCTGGCAGTCACTCTCCACCACCGCCGGTAAGAAACCCTGGCGTTCCACCATCTGCAACCCAAAATCCATAGCCCGGAGTTCAGCAATTTCCGGCGGCCACTGCTTTCTCTCCCACCGAACCGCCGCGAGCAGAAATTTTCCATTTTCGTCGCGAACCACCAGCCCTGTTCCCTCCCCCGCCATCACCGCAGCGTCCATGTTCACCATCACCCATCCTTCCAGCGGCTTCTCCCAGGTACATTTCTTGCTCGATTTAGTTTCTTGCTCCTTTGAGTGGTGGGATTTGTACTCCTCCCAAAAATCTAAAGCCTTCCCTATGATCGCCCATTCCTCCGCCTTCGGTTTATTGAACATTTGATTGTTCCTTTCATGCCAAATCAACCATAGAATCAGCCCTAGCTTCTCCAGTGTTTCATCATCGACTCTTTCCATTACCTCACAAAGCCAACTGCCCGATGATAGCGTAGGCTCGAACTCGAAGAGATCCCTGAAAATTATTGGTCTCCAGATCCGACTTGCCCATTGGCACTCTCTAAATATGTGGGTTTGAGTCTCTTCCAGGTTGCAGAACGGGCACTCAGTCGCCGCGTCTTTCTTCTTCTTTTCAATATTCTTTCCAGTCGGGAGAATTTCGTGAGCCAACCTCCAGAGCAAGATCTTCACTTTAGGTGGGATCTGTAGTTTCCATAATCTGTCCCAGTCCATAGGGTCATAAATTTCCAGATTCTCTTCCCCGTCCAATCCTTCCCCTTCTTCATCATTCAACCTGGGGTCTCGGGAGCCTAATCTCTGGTGGATAACAAGGCATAAGCCGATTTCACAGTGTATTCGCCTTTCTTTTCAGCGCTCCACACTAGGTCATCCTTTGCTGGCTGCCTGGGTATAGGAATAGCTACAATTCTTGCTCGATCCTCCGTGGTAAAGCTACTTTGGAGCAAATTCCACCTCCACACTCTCTGTTCGTGATCAATAAGGTCCATTACTCTAGTCAATCCCCCTGATTGTGGTTTTGGGGAAGAGACTCGATAATCATTTTCCTCAGCCCCTGCCACCCATCTATCTGCCCAGATGTTTATCTCCGACCCATTCCCTACTCTCCATCGAGTCCCCTCCTTGACTAGGTGTTGAGCCGACATTATACTCCTCCATGTGTAGCTTGGATTGTTCCCTAGCTGAGCTTGCAGAATAGTCGGATTAGGAAAATACTTTGCCTTCAACACTCTGCCTGCCAAGGATTCTGGATTGTTTAGCAAATTCCATACTTGTTTTCCTAACAAGGCAATATTGAAAGCATGTAGCTCTCGAAAACCCATTCCCCCTTTCGACTTCGGTTGACACAATTTGTGGCAAGCTCTCCATGGGATTCTTTTCTCTTCTTTCTGCTGACCCCACCAAAAGCTAGATATTGCTTTTCGCAGTTCATGAATAACACTATATGGAATTAAGAAAACCGACATAGGATAAGTTGCATGTGATTGAGCCACAGACTTGATCAACACTTCTTTTGCCGCAATAGATAGTGTCTGGCCTTTCCAGTGTTTGATCTTCTTCCTAACTCTATCCACCAAGTTTTGGAATACAGCTTTTTTCTCTCGGCCAATAACTGTGGAGAGTCCCAAGTATTTCTGGTGGAAGTCCACCTGTTTCATACCCAAAATACAAGACAACTCATCCTTCTTCTCTTTTGGGACACTCGGGCTAAATGTCAGCTCTGATTTGATCAAGTTGACCACTTGGCCCGATTCTTCCTCATAATCTCGCAGGATCTTCTGTAATTCCCTACTCTCCTGAGCTGTTTCTCTCGTAAAGATCACACTATCATCCGCGAAAGCAGATGAGAGGCAGCTGGTCCTCTAACTGAGGCTTTGATGCCATGAATTGCCCCTCCCTCCACTGCTTTCTTTAATAGGGTTGACAGCCCCTCCACGCAGAACAGGAAAAGGTAGGTTGATAGTGGGTCGCCCTGCCTCAGACCTTATTGGCTATTGCTTACACTGCAGACGATATTTTGCAGTGAATATTAAATTTTGAGCTATGTACACGCAAGGAACATGCAACTGAAAGCTAAAATATAGGGAAAAGTCCATAATATCCTTGACGGTAGGGCTGGAAGTTTGGTACCGGTATTTGGGATATACCGAATACCGTATCGAATTTGTCTATATTTGGTATTACCGACTACACGTATTATTTTGTAGGATTGGGATTGGGATTGAATTTCAATTGTTATTTGGCATTAGGGATTACGGGATTGGGATCGGGATATACCGAAATACCGATCAATACTGAAATATAAGCTAGTGCGTAATTTATCCTTTGAACTAGACTCTTTCATTCACTACTAGGCAACCATCAACTACCAAGAGTGCATAGATCATTCCATTACTATTTCACACTAGTATTAGTCGTCTCTCAACCTCAAATTCGTCAAATTAAAGATTACCAATTACAAGAACTTGAGATATTAGCTCTATGCAACTCAAGACTCTTTGCTTATTCACTTTGCCCTAAATTAAACAATAAAATATAATTTATATATTTAATTATTAATTACAAAGTTAATTAATTTTGTATTTGATAATACCGATTGGGATACCGAGGTACCGATTGGGATACCGAAATATTTAGGGATTGGGATTGGGATTGATTTTAGAGTGTAATTTGGTATTCGGGATTTCGGTATTTGGTATTGGGATACCGATACTGTACCGATTTACACTTTACACCCCTACTTGACGGGGCAACAAATTTCCCGGTTAAAAGAAAAATAAAACCTAAGATATACTAACCCCAAGATATACCACTATAATTTTTAAGATTTATGGAAACTCAATTCATAATAGAATGGAGACTAATGAAACTTATTATACATGTATATGTGATATTATACATGTATATGTGATGAAGAAACACCTAAACAAATACATTATAAAAGGTTAAATTATATGTTTGGTCACTCAAATTTAGGGTTGGAAGTTTGGTACCGGTATTTGGGATATACCGAATATCGTACTGAATTTTTCTATATTTGGTATTACCGAATGCATGTATTATTTTGTGGGATTGGTATTGGGATTGGGATTTAATTTCAATTGTTATTCGGTATTAGGGATTACGCGATTGGGATCGGTATATACCGAAATACCGATCAATATCGAAATATAAGCTAGTGTGTATTTTATCCTCTCAACTAGACTCTCTCATTCACTACTACTCGACCATCAACCACCAAAAGTGTCATTTAATTATACATAGATTATTACATCACTATTTCACACTAGTATTAGTCGTCTCTCAACCTCAAATTCGTCAAATTAAAGATTACCAATTACAAGAACTTGAGAGTTAGCTCTAGGAAACTCAAGACTATTTGGTTAGTCTCTTTGCCCTAAATTAAACAATAAAATCTAATTTATATATTTAATTATTATTTGGAAAGGTAATTAATTATGTATTCGATAATATCGATTGGGATATCGAGGTACCGATTGGGATACTGAATTTAGGGATTGGGATACCGAAATTCTTTAGGGATTGTGATTGATTTTAGGGTGTAATTCGGTATTTGGTATTGGGATACTGATACCGTAACGATTTCCACCCCTACTCAAATTACATAAATTTTTCAATTTAACCATCCGAATTACTTTTCTTTCTTACCAGCCACTAACTTTACGAATCATTTCACCATTAGTCACCAGCCGTTACACTCCGTTAAATATGTCCTACGTGGCAGTCGACTATAAAGTTTGACCGTTAACTAGCTGATATGGAAATTAAAAAAATTAATTTATTATTTCACCTCATCATTCCACTCTATCATTTATCATACTAATTATTTAATAAAAATTAATAAAGAAAAAAATAAATATAAAAACGTAAATTACAAGCGGAGATCTCTCCTTAAGCATCGGCGGCGCCGCGCCGAGAAGAAAGATGGGCGAGGAAAGGATGTCGGCGTTCCGACGTTGGATTCCGACTTAATCTTCTCACCACGCATCCTCTTCAACCAAAAAACTGGAGGTCCATCTCGTATGATCTGCAGAGTTCGATTCCTCTTTCGCCAGAAAGGATGTCGGCGTCATCGGCGGCGGTATATTAAGATCTTGAATTGAAAGAGACAGAGAGGTGAGATGGTGAGGAGTTTTCTGGGGAGGGAGTTATTCATCAATTATGTGGGCAGAGAGACAAATTTACAACAAATTAAATTAGTGGATCTGGTCTATTTTTAAAAAGCTCACAGTTCACACAGAGTAGCCGGCCCACTACGAAGTTTGGCTTCCCTCTCTAATTGTATGGCCATAGTCAAAGCTCAATCACGACCGCCAAGATCTCCCTCTGCCTTTTCCCATCACTGTAAATCAAAAATCCCCTGCCTGTTTCCTTCTCTTGGCAACGGAGGTTTTAACTTGTTAAACTCTGCACTTTTAATGGCATTGACGAAGCGGAGAACATAAGAGGAATGGATGACCGGGAGATAATGTTGGGATGAATAGCTTTGAAAAGCTATAAATGAAATTCCTAATTAATTATCCAGTATTTTCCCATAATACATAAATAAGATGGATAATTAATAAAAGGAATATTATGGAGATAATTAGGAGTAATTATCTTAATAGATTATATTTTAATTATGGGAGTAATTATCTCCCTAATTAAAATATGACTTATTCCCAAAGAAAGAGGGAATATTCTAGGTTTCTCCTCCTATAAATAACAGTCCCCTAGACCCTCTAAATACACCTCAGAAGAGCAGAAACACGAGAGAGAGTGAATTCATGGAGCTCCGGTTTTCGCACAAAATTGATGAGCAATAAAATTAGAATGGATGTTTTATCCTGGAGATGACCGGTTGATAGTCTGCTGTGCGAATAACGAGGCAGTGCCGCGAACGTCTTAAAGAGAGCGACCTAGTCCGTGACTCAGCCAGATCGGTAACCCTAAATTTTCTGTTCGGTTTCTAACAATTTTAAGACGTTCGGTTGCTGTCATATCCATCGAACAGAATACCGATTCTGGTTTAAACGATTGTTATACGTGTTGCGGAAAGAAAGCCGTCATGGCGTCGGAAAGCCATGAGAGAACATCAACGATTTATGGTTGTCTGGGGACTTAAAGCAAGGGTTACTCAAGTTGCTTTGTCTATCGTGGCCTGAATTTCATCCTGGGCCAAATTAATAGAAGAAAGGCCCTAGCTAATTGAGCTGCCTGACCCTCCGACAAAGACACCCAAATCGAAAATTCGAGGAAAGACGAGGACGTTGGAGGCCACGACAAGCATATCACAGGGGATTAAGCTTCCGCTTTAAGCCGGCCCAGAATTGGAGCAGTTTACAAATACCGCTTCTCCAAGCTGAGTTTTATGCCTCCAATTCAGATATGTTATTTAACCTAGAGTCTCTTTGAGGTAGCCCATACGGTGGAAACAGGGACTAGATACTATAACAACACCCCTTGTGTTGTTATTGTAACAACACTAGCCTCCAACCAATAGGAATCTAGGATTGTGATGACTTTTTATTAGATGAGTTGACCTAGTGTAAAATCAAAGCAAGGGTATAATTGTCATTATGAAAAATATGTTTAAATAATAAAAAAAATAGTAAAAATAAAAAAATATTTTTTTATTTTCTGTCCAAATTTTTGGTCGCCGGAATTCGGCCACCGGTCGCCGAAATCTGGTCGCCGGAATATGCTATTTTGTCATCGGAATATGCTCACCGTCGCCGGAATACGCTTACCGGCGTCGGAATATGCTTACCGGCATCAGAATCTAGTCACGGGGCCAGAATATGCTTATCGACGCAGGAATCCGTTCATTGACGGTCATCGGAGTTTGGTCAACGGCCAACGACCACCGGATGTTATGGTCTGCATTGTGAGATTTATGGTTTGGTTTCTCATATTTTTGTATGCCTTTTGTGGTTTGCTTTATCGTGTTTGTGGTTTGCATTAAGAAGTTTCTGGTTTGCTTTATCGTGTTTGTGGTTTGCATTGAGAAGTTTCTGGTTTGCTTTCAAAAAATTTGTGGTTTGCATTGAGAAGTTTCTGGTTTGCTTTCAAAAAATTTGTGGTTTGCATTGAGGGGTTTCTGATTTGATTTAATAGATTTTTGGTCTGCATTAGGACGTTTCTGGTTTGTTTTTGTGGTTTGCTTTATCGTGTTTGTGGTTTGCATTATGAGGTTTCTGGTGTGTTTTTTAAAATTATGTGGTTTGCTTTGCGGGGTTTCTGGTTTGTTTTAGTAGATTTTTGGTCTTCATTAGGACGTTTCTGGTTTGTTTTTTTTTTGTTTGCTTTAACGTGTTTGTGGTTTGCATTTTGTGGTTTCTAGTGTGCTTTCAAAATATTTGTGGTTTGGTTTGTGGTGTTTCTGGTTTGTTTTAGAGAATTTGTGGTATGCATTAGGAGGTTTCTGGTTTGCTTTTTTGTGGGTTTTTTATCACGTTTATGGTCTGCATTAGGAGGTTTCTGGTGTGTTTATTAAAGACTAGTGATTTGCATACCGATAACTCCTAAATGCATATCATAAACACAATAATAAACTAAAATACATCAAAAAAGGCGATTGATATACTGAGCTCTACAATAATTAGGTCAAAACTTGGACCCATCCGGTATCCAGAACCCCATAAACACGAGGTAAGCAATGAAGTATACAGTATACAGAGAAGGCATTGTCTTAGAGAGAAAGTGCTCAAACAAACTGAGTGAAGGAAATAAATTGAAGAGAGGTGCAGTAGAGTCTCCCAATTGAACAGTAAAAAAGCCTAACCACAGAATAACATGAACAATGATGCGTTGGATTTCGTCCATGATCTACTTCTGATTTTTGGCCGCTGCATGGAAGATGTGGAGGATTTTGTCAATCCCTGCATCCACGAGGCCTTTGACTCCAACTTGGGATTCGTCAAACCATCCAGCAGCGAACGCCTCTCTCTCCGTTGCCGCCTTCTTCTCCCCTCTTTACCGTCACCATGGATCTTAGGAAAGAGAGATCGAATTCCAACTCAGGCGCAGACGCTGCCTCAATCGTCGTCACACATGGCGACTCCGATCTTAGAGTTCAGACCTAAGACGATGTGGTTGTGACATCGATCTCTGACTGAATGGTGGAATCCATGTCTCCCAGGCG